CCAAACAATCATGTCATCAATTATAAGGACATAGGATCAAAGCAGTCTTCGCTGCAATTAACGTACTAAATCCATCAATGATCACCTGTATCGGTATAACCGAACGACATATATCAAGCATGGACGTGCAGCATGAAAATTACATGCTATGTGATCTAAACATGCCTATTTTAACTGGTCATGTTTTAACCTTAGTGAGATCAACTGTAATAAAATTCAGAGATAATAATATATATAAACATAAATATAAAAAGTAAAAAACATCAATGAAACTATATATTTATAAACTAAACAAAAGTACATAATTTATAAATATATTACAAAATAAATGTAACTATGGTATAAGACTCCTACTTAAACTATACATCATCTAGGGATACAACACATATATGAGCAGTGTACTCATGAAAGACCTTAAGTGGTAATCCTTTAGTGAACGGATTCGCAATCATAGAGTTTATTCTAATGTACTCTATCAATATCTGTTTACTCTGAACTCTTTCTTCAACAATAGGGAGCTTAATATCTATATACTTTAACTTCGTCGAACTCTTATTGTTGTTGAAATAGATAACTGCATATTTATTATCACAAAATAACTTTAATGGTCTTTTTATGCCATCAATAATACGCAGCCCAGTAACAAAATTTCGCAACCATATTTTATGATTGGATACCTCATAATAAGCTACAAACTCTGCTGTCATAGTAGAAGATACTACAAGTGTTTATTTAGCACTCTTGCATGAAATAGCTCAACAAGCAATTAAATATAATCTGATGTAGATTTTTTGCTGTATTGACATATGGCAAAATCAGAATCAAAATAACCAACGATCTCCTATTAACCTGACCTCCTTTATGTGAGCAAATAATCATTTATTCTTTATAAATACTACATGACACGTTTGGCTGCTCTCCAATGATCCACTGGATTTCTTAAATATCTATTTGACATTCTAACACTGTACGCTATATCTGGACGAATACAAACTTGTACATATATAAGACTCCCTACAGCATAAGCATAAGGAATCTTTTATATCGCTATAATCTTTAAATCATTCTTGGGGCATTGACTTAAAGTAAATTTGTCTCCTTTAGACACATGGGTGTTTTTTATTTTATAATCCTACATGTCAAACTTTTTTACGAACCTTTTCGATATAACTCTTCTATGATAATCCAAAGATACTCTGAGAGCAATTCTAGTATATATAGATCGTTAATACAAAAGAGGTATCCCCAAAATCTTTCATCTCAAATTTCGTGGTTAGAGATCTCTTGATTTCGTGCAATAAACTTATATCACTATTAGCAAGCACTATGTCATCGACATATAAAATCAGAAAAATATATTTACTCCCACTAAACTTATGGTATACATAATCTTCCACTAAATTTATCTCAAAATCAAACGACATGACCACTTGATAAAATTTGTGATACCATTGACGAAAAGCCTGTTTAAGTTCATAAATGAATTTCTTTAGTTTGCAAACCATTTGTTGTGCATCTCCGGATACAAAGTTATCTAGTTGTACCATATAAATCATCTCATTAATGTCATCATTGAAAAACGTTGTCTTAACATCTATCTGATGTAACTCAATATCAAAATTTACCATTAAAACCATTATAGTCCTGAAATAATCTTTTGATGAAACCAAAGAGAAAGTTTCTTTATAATCATTGCATTCTTTCTGTGTAAAGCCCTTAGCGACAAAACGGGTATTGTACTTCTCCATATTACCTTTCGAATCCTTATTGGTATTAACTATCCATTTGCAATCAATAAGTTTCGCATCCGTAGGCAATGGGATAAGATCTCAAACGTCATTATCTTTCATGGACTTTATATCTTTATTCATGGCATTAATCCACTTATGAAAATTAGAACTTTTTATGACTTGATAAAAGTTGATAGGATTATCTTCCACTATGTCAATGTCAAATTCATGTTCTTAAAGATATACAATATAATCATCTGATATTGTAATTCTCCTCTTTCTTGTGGATCTTCTTAATGGTATAAGTTCTTGATAGTGTGAAGTTTGTACTGCATGAACATTTTTCCAAATAGGAACAGGAGATACTATGACATTGTTAGGTATAAGAATATGATCCTGATCATTGTAAAGAGCACCTGAGAGAATATGAATATTGACTCATTCCTCTTAAAAAATAAGGTCACAAACTCTTTCTCCCCCTTCAAACTCAACATCCTCAAATAACTGGCCATTTTCTGTCCAAAAAAATTATCTTAATAGTAGGACCATAAAATTTGTAACCCTTGGATCGCTCAAAATAACGACTACAGTTTTGAAATCCAATTTCTTTTCTTGTGGCCTATAAGGCTTAGTCTCAGCTGGACATCCCCAAATGTGCAAATATCTCAAACTAGACTTATTGTCCATCCAAAACTCATAAGGGATCTTTGTAGTTACTTTAGTTAGAACACTGTTAAGTAAATATGTTGTGGTCTTTAATGCTTCTCCCAATAGTGATTCAGGTAAGGTAAAATAACTAATCATATTTTTTACCATATTCTTAAGTGTTCTATTTCGCCGTTAAGCAATACCATTCATGTTAGAAGAACCTAGCATGGTGTACTATGGGATGATATTGCATTCCTTTAGGAATCGAGCAAACAACCCTAAATGTTGTTTACCTAATCCGTCATATCTACTATAGTATTTACCACCATAGTCAGATATAACAACCTTAATCCTTTTGTTGAATTAATTTTCAACTTTTGTTTTAAAATTTTGAACACATCAAGGGACTGAGACTTTTCATGAATGAGATATAGGTAGTCATATCTTAAATAATCATCTATGAACGTTATGAAATATTGTTGACCGTTCCAAGAAACCGTAGGAAATAGTCCACAAATATCTATATGAATGAGTTATAATATGTCCATAGCTCAGTTGGCACCTAATCTCTTAATGTTTTTCTATTTTTCCTTGATACAATAAACACATCTATCAAAATCTGAAAAATCAATAGGATATAGAATTCTGTCAGACACAAATCTCTTAATTCTCTTTTGGGATATGTGACCTAATCTCTTGTGCCACAAAGAAGCAGAATCTTCATTGGTTAATTTTCTATTTATATCTCTTGTACCAATATGCAATGATTCATTATAAGAAGCAATTGTATCAAGTAAATAAAGATTATCATGCACTAATAAAGAAACAAAACCAACCAAATTTGAATTAAGAAAAAAAACTAAAATTTTCATTTTCAAATGAACATGAATAACCAAATTTATCAAATACATAAACATAAATTACATTTCGTTTAAATAACGGTATAATAAAAGTTTCTTCTATATTCAAATAAAATTCAGTCATTAACAACAATCTAAATTTGTCAATTGTTTCTACCTCGATTGGTTTGTCATTGCCCACATAAATAAATCTAGTACCATCATTTGGCTTGCAGCAATAGAGGCAACCCTGCATAGACACACTGATGTTAATTCTGGCACAAAATTTATCCACCAAGTGTGTGTTGATACAGAAGTTAAGTTAATCTCAGAACAAACAAAATTAAGAAGCATATATTTCTTTGCGCACTATGCATAATAGTTAGTGTATTGTTTATTCTTGTATATCGGAGCTTTACAAAAGAAACAAACATTTTTTGTCTAAGCATTTTGTTGTTTATTCTGTTGTACTACAACCGCAACAGATTTACCTGTTTGTTTTTTCTAATTTTTTTTTATTTTTGAAGATTAATGCTAAATAAGCACTCTCTATCTTCTCAGACTTGACTCTTTTCTCATCTTGAACATCATGTGAAATGAGTTCATTCAGATTTTATAATTTTTTATGACAATTATATGTCACCTTAAAATGATTAAACTGTAGTGGAAGAGAAATCAAAACAAAGTACACAAGCACTTCTTCTGACAATTCCACTCGAAGTGCTTTGAGTTTTGCATGCACATGTGACAGCTCCTTTATGTACTCTCTAATATTTCCATTTTCCTTATACCTCATGAAAACAAAAGTTAATATAAGTGTACATGCTTAAGCTTTATCACTTCTGGCGAAACATTGTTCTAGAGAATGCAGGAAATCTCTAGTTGTTGTGATCTCATCGAACATAGTATCCAAAAAAATATCTGGAATGGCCTATTCCATAACCAACATACTCATACAGTTTTATCAATTCCATATTTCAAACTCCTTCTTTTCCTCAAGGGTGCTGTCAGGAGTAAGCAGATCGGGTTAATCAACTCGTAAAGCCCAATTCATATCCATAACTTCAACTACGAGTCGAACACTATTCTTCTACTGCTTGAAATTTGTGTCGTTCAACATCTAGAT